GAGGTGTTCCTCTACAGCTTTCCAGATGAAATGGACTAGCTTGTTTAGAAAGTTTTTTTCTCGAGTACGAACAGCTTTGGAGAGACAATTCAAGCAGGGTAGTTGGATACCACGTGCTTCTTCTTCTAGTCGTGAAAGCTATCTGCCAAATGGAAATGAGCAAACTATAGCTGGTCGAGCGGATGATCTTTTTCGTTTTATGAAGTGGTTGAGTTGCTTTCTGTTTTTCTCCTGTTATCCGTCTGCACCCTATAGGAGAAAAATTATGGCGATGGATCTATTTCTAGTAATGCTTAATGTTTGGGCAGTTGTTCCTTCAAAAGAAAAGTCTAATGAAACTCTTCTCCTTCCCTATAACGAAGGAATTACTTTACCTGATTCAGTTCTTTTGTTAGTTGGATCAATAATTGATAGTTGGGATAGTCTGAGAGAAAGTTCTTTCCGTATATTGCTTCACTTTCCTACTCCACTTCCTGGCATTTCTAGTGAACATATGGTGGGAGAAGTGATCGCATGGGCCAAAAAGTTAGTTTGCAGCTCCCGTGTCCGAGAAAGTGACGCTGGAGCTCTAACATTAAGGCTAGTATTCAGAAAGTATGTTTTGGATTTAGGCTGGATAGTCAGAGCTTCAGGTGATGTTGTTTGCTTAGATTCCGATTCTGTGCATAAATTACCAAATGTGGGTGAGGAGATATGCAGATCGAACCATCCGGTGGCAGAGTATTTGAAATCCTTAATTGATTGGTTGAATATCTCTGTAACTGAGGGAGAGAGGAATCTCGCTGAAGCCTGCAAAAACAGCTTTGTTCATGGTGTGTTGCTCGCTTTGCGCTATACTTTTGAAGAGTTGGATTGGAGTTCAGATATCGTGCTCTCTAGTCTCTCGGAGATAAGAAGTCTACTGGAAAAGCTTTTGGAGCTTGTGATGCGAATAACTTCCCTGGCACTCGGCGTGGTTTCAGCAGATGCCTGGTACCTTCCAGAGGACATGGACGACATGGACGATGATGATGCCTTTCTGTTGGATGTTCCAGATGAGGCTGATGCATCCACGTCGTTGTCTGAACTGGAAGATAGTAAGGAAAAAACTACAGTAAATTCAAGAACATCAGAACAGATTGTGATGGTTGGCTGTTGGCTTGCCATGAAAGAGGTACTTTACCTTTTGATTGTCTCCAATTCATTCATTTTATTGTCTCCCTTATCTCTCTCTACTGGCCATTTGCAGGTTAGTCTTCTTTTAGGAACAATCACAAGGAAAGTTCCTTTGCCTGCTGCTTCTGATTCAGTTGAATCTGATCCAAATGCTTCCATTATATTAAAACACGATGAAGTACTCGATTTGAGACAACTTAAAGTGATCGGAGACCACTTTTTGGAAGTTCTTTTGAAAATGAAACACAATGGTGCGATCGATAAGACAAGGGCCGGATTTACTGCTCTTTGCAACCGTTTACTTTGTTCAAATGACCAAAGGTATGTTTTTTTTTTTCTCATAGTTTTTGCATGAGTTGAAGCTTTTCTCATTCTATATTTTCGTTCTTCTGCTATGCTAGAGCATCCATGCATTTGCTTGATTGAATAACACACTTGAATTTTGTATGCTGTTATGAATATCATCAAATCCTATAAAAGATCATGGAAATTTTTGCAAACGTTTATGAGAGGACATTAAACCTTTCTCCTTTCAAAGAAATATAAATTCTCTAACTTAACCTATCTTTCTAGACTTTGTAAGTTAACAGAATCCTGGATGGATCAGCTAATGGAAAGAATGACTGCAAATGGTCAGACAGTCGACGATTTATTGAGGAGAAGCGCTGGTATTCCAGCTGCTTTTATTGCTCTATTTCTAGCAGAGCCAGAAGGTTCCCCTAAGAAGCTTCTACCAAGAGCTCTGAAGTGGCTCATAGATGTAGCTGAGAGGTTGTTGCTGAATCCGATTGATTCGGACTGTAAAAACAGAAACTTCTCCGAGTTAGGCCAAGACACAGAGTCTGTGTCGCCCCATGAGACTTATGCAAGTGAAAAAGCCTCTAAAATTCGAGATGAAGGCGTCATTCCAACAGTTCATGCATTCAATGTCCTTAGAGCCTCTTTCAATGATGCCAACCTAGCAACTGATACATCTGGTTTCTCTGCTCAGGCTATAATTGTTTCTATTCGCGCATTCTCTTCTTCCTACTGGGAGGTGCGTAACAGTGCTTGCTTGGCATACACTGCTTTAGTTCGGCGGATGGTGGGATTTCTCAATGTTCACAAACGAGAATCAGCTCGTCGAGCTTTAACTGGACTTGAATTTTTTCACAGGTATGATATCTTTGATTTCAGATTTTAACTGAGAATTTTTAGTTGAATTTTTTCACAGGCATTTCCTTGTGATCTTAACTTGAATTTTGTTCGGGTTCTTATTTGATGGGGATATTATATCCATTCACAACCTAATGAAGTTTTATTGTCAACAGGTATCCAGCATTGCATCGATTTCTATTGGATGAACTGAAAGTGGCTACTGATTCTCTTGATGATGGCTGTTCTGGAAATGCAGAATCCAATCTAGCAAAAGTTGTGCACCCAAGCTTGTGTCCTGTGTTAATTCTTCTATCCAGGCTTAAGCCTTCTACAATAGTAAGTGAAGCTGGGGACGACCTGGATCCATTTCTCTTCATGCCGTTCATCAGGAAGTGCTCGTCTCAAAGCAATCTACGAATTCGTGTTCTTGCATCGAGAGCATTAACAGGCCTGGTTTCCAATGAGAACTTACCATCAGTCATCCTCAATATAGCATCTGGGTTGCCTGTTGATGACACCACAATGATGGCTCCCGAATCGAGCACAGTCTTAGATGTGACTGCAACCACTCGACGTTCTTCGTATAATAAGATCCATGGAATCTTGTTGCAGTTGATTTCTCTTTTGGATACAAATTGTAGAAATCTAGCAGATATTTCGAAGAAAAGCCAGATTCTTAATGACTTGGTCGAGGTCCTTGGACGTTGCTCTTGGATGGCTAAGCGTAGACATTGCTCTTGCCCAATTCTTGGTACGTCTTTCTTACGAGTCCTTGGGCACATGCTGAGTATTGTTAGAACATGCCCAAGAAGCAAAAGTTTGTATATCATCCGCAACCTGCTTCTGGATGTATCTACTGAGTGCTTAGACATGGAAACCTACCACAAACTGTCATTTTATGATCCAACATTGGCAGAACTTCGGCAACAAGCAGCTATTTGCTACTTCAATTGTGTGCTTCAACCATTTGATGAAGAAGATTATGCAGCTATTCAGAAGTCACAAAGATCCGAGTCTGATGAAGATGTGCCAGCCACTCTAATAAATTATCCTTTTCCACAACTTCAAGAAAGACTAATCCGCTCGTTACAAGATCCATGCTATGAAGTTCGACTTTCGACGTTGAAATGGCTGTTTAAATTTCTGAAATCAACAGAATATTCTGATGGGTTCAATGACTTGAGTATTCATGAGATTACGACTGTTGATCACTGGACTAAAACCAACCTCCAAGCTTTGCTTACAGAGCTTTTGTCATTGGAGAAGAATTACAGATGTCTATACTACATTTTAAAGAATCTTTTCGCTTGGAATATGTCTCAGTTTCAGAAGTTTGGCAATGTGGAATGCACTGAAGAGGTAGTTTATATTGGTAAGATGGACTGTGGTTCAGTTCTGCAGTTTTGGGATAAGTTGATTTCCTTGTATAAGCTTACGAAACATGCGAAAACTCGGGAAACTACGCTTCGTTGCATGGGAACGTGCATAAAACGTTGTGCGGTGCTGTATTCTGCCTCCATTGTTTCTGATGCCATGATGGGAGAGTCTCCAAAAGATAGAACATCAAATAACTTGGAGGAATTCCAGTCCTGTATTACCCTATTCACTGACCTGATAAGCCAACATAGTGCTGCATCAGAGCCAGTAAATATGCGCACGGCCGCTGCAGATTCTATTATAGCTTCAGGTTTGCTAGAACAAGCTGAAATCTTTGGTGATTATATGTTTGATAACCAAATCCCTCAGGAGACTTCGAACTCCCATTTTGAACAGAGAGATTATGTGAATATGTATGCTCATCAAATCCTTAATATATGGTCTACGTGTATTATGCTTTTGGAGGATGAAGATGATGAGATTCGGAAAAGCCTCGCAGCTGACGTCCAGAAGTGTTTTAGCTCGGAAAGAACTACGACAAGCTCCGATGCTCGGACCCAAGTGGAGCAAGTTATTGGATCAAGTTTTGAGTACCTGTCATCTATATTCGGCCATTGGGTTCGGTACTTCGATTACCTTGCAAACTGGGTATTGAACACAGCAAATTATGCCGCATCGCCAGCCGACCCAGTTAGAAGAGTGTTCGACAAGGAAATCGATAATCATCACGAAGAGAAGTTATTGATCAGTCAGACCTGTTGTTTACATTTGGAAAAGCTTTCAAGATCTAAACTAGTTGCTTTATGGGACACCCAATGGTTCATAAACTATTTGGTTGGGTTGAGAAAGAGATTTTTCCGTCAGCTGATAAAATTTTCAGATGAGCATATGAGCAAACATGGTGGATTTGATTGGATAGGTGGTGCAGGCAACCACAAAGATGCATTTCTTCCACTTTATGGAAATTTGCTTGGCTTCTATTCCATTTCAAACTGTATGATAAATGGCAAAACCCAGATTATTACGCAGCCTCTCGACACCGAGGTCGTCGAAATCGGTAAGATTATTAACCCGTTTCTTAGGAACCCTCTGATATCTAACCTGTATTTGTTAGTGATTAGAATACACAAAGAAGCCATAGATGTTAATAGAGATCACAAGATCCCAGAACTTGAACATGAGGGAATCTGGGAAGGTTTTGATCCATATTTTCTTCTCAGATAAGTTTGTGGTAGAATACTGTTCTTGTAATGTGTTATCACGGGGGTAATTGTTTTTGTTGTTCTGTTCTTCGAATGGGTAATGAGAACAAGATTGATTACAAAAAGCAGTGAAGGAAACGTTGTGTGTTCATGTTTATATACAATAATTGTGATATACTGGGAAGAACTTAGCAGGAACAGGGAAAAAGAAAGAAGGAAGGGTGTACATGGATTTGAGTGTTGAAGAAACTGATTCTATTCAATTTGTTTCTGCACCAAATCAACTGATCTGTTGTTATTCTTGACATTTTAAGAACTCTTCCTACCAACTTCATATCCACTTTACTCAAGAAACACAAATCTCCTCCTTTTTCTTTCTTCTGCAGTTTCTTCAGTATGCAATCTCCACTTCTCATAATGTCCTTCACCTTCTTTTCTTTCTGCAACACCAAAAATCTATTGCGTAATGAGAAGGATTTAGTTAAATCCAAGTAAAAAACGAACTAACCTTTTGGAGATCTGTTTGAATCTCGGTTAGAAGTTGCTTATCGGCTGGGTTTTGGAGTTCGGCTTGGAACTTTTTCGAGCGTTTTGTGGTGTTGCTGTGATCTTTATCTGCTCGAATGAACTGCCATATTACTCTTATTGATTCTTGCAATATCTCTACAAGTATATCACTTGTGATTGCTTCGTAACCGTCCTCTTTCCCTCTTCTTGCCTTCTTTCTGTCCCTCGTTTTATCCTCTACCAAAAAACGAAACGAAATTATATGAATGGAAGTTTGAGAAAGCTTCCGGGTGTGTCTTGTAATTCAAAAAAGATGAGATTGTTTGCGTAGTTACCTTTGATGACTGGAACTTGAAGAAGATTACGAGCAATGAAACGATTCTTGACGTAATTTTGGAGTCTTGGGCCTTGGAAAGCTTCATTCTCTAAGAATCTTTGCAAGAGAACTTGGAACTGTTGGAAGTCATCAGCAACTTGATTGTAATGGTGAAGTCGTGTATGAGGTTGAGATTCCCACAAATCCAAAGCCTTTTCATATTGCCATTGAATGAACTCCCAAGAGAGACACATTTGGCCCACATATACCATCTCCAATTCACAGTGAACTTCTCTTATGAACTTCTTCATTGGGTCCACTTGACATTTCTTTTGTCTGTACAGCCTTAGGTCGTGCGAGAGAAGAGACGTGATTGATGATGGCCATGAAGATTTTCTGTCGCTACAAAATGACTTTAGTGGGTCCTTTGATTGCAAAACCCCTATCGTTTCCACACAAATATTAGGAAAAAAGAGACTCGATCAGATACAAAACTAGTCTTATTTTACTTACCCATTGCATACATCTTCTGGAAATTCAAGATATCCAATTTCCTCATGCGCTCTCTGTAAGCTTTGTAGAATTTGTGAAGCTCCTCCATTAAATCTCCATATTCAGACCTCTCATCTATCTTCCATGCCCTCAATTCTCCCATTACCTTTGGTGACTCTGATTCTTCATAAATGGTGGCCAGCCCTCTGCCTCTCCCTTTCTTCATTTCCATTTTCAGTTCTTCATCTTCCCACTCCTCTGAATCTTCTCTGTTTTCATTCCCCTCCTCCCGCGACTTCTCCGGTTCTTCGTTTATCTCCTCGTCTGGTTCGTACCCGCCGGTTTCCAATTCCAAATCCAAATCCAAATCGGAGGGAAACCCACCTCCGACATCCACGCCGGTGTCTGAATCGGAACTCTGACGAAACTCATTGTCTTCTTCTTCTTCTTCTTCTTCTTCACTCTGTTTCTCTGAAATTTGCTCTCCTCCGTTTACAGAGGTCTCTGTTATTTCTCCTTCCCCAACGGCTTCAAATTTCAAAATTTTCCCGGAAAATTCCTCTGTTCCATCGGAAAAGCAATCTGTAACTTCAGATTCCAAAACCTTTCCAGAAACTTCTCGAACAGAAAAATTCCCATTTCCCAAACCCACGTGTTTCGAACAAGAATTTAAAACCTCCACTGTAAAGCTCGGAACTTTAGCTTCTTCCACAAAGTGGCTCGTACTCTTCTCCGGCGAAAACTCGTATCTGTTACTTATTGAAGAAGAAGAACAACCACTGGAATCCAGTTTCTGAGAACCAAAATTTCCTTGATTCGATTTGCTAAACTCCTCAAACGTTTGGAACCTGAAATTAAAAACAAACTCCTCCGTTTCCTTCTCTTCTAAACTCTCAGTCACTCCGCCGCCGCCATCGGCCTCCTCCTCCAGTGGCCGTGAATGATCATCATCAGAAGTTTCCAAGATTTTCTCCCCATGAAAAGACCTAAAAGAATTGGACAACCCCACGATTAAAAAACAGAAAAAAAAAACATGAAAAAATAAAGAAAAGAAAACCCACCTGAAGAGGAAGGTAAAAAGGGAGAGAAACAGAGGAGAGAAAAAAATAAAAAGAGTGAAAGAATTAGAAGACAGCATAACAAAAGTGGTTTGGTTGGAGTAAGTTTTATGCCGTCGGAGGAATGGGATTCTGAGAATTGGTTATATTAAAAATGGTTTTGGTTTGGTTCTTCACTGTTGGTTGAAGCCTCTGTATTACCCTGTTCTTCCTTCCTCCCACCATGTTCAACCAACAATGTTTATAATAGGATTTTTTTAGTGCAATTTCCATATTTTTTGCTATAATTATTTACAATTTTCGGAAAATTAAATTTTATAAAAAAAAAAAAAAAGAATTAAACTTTTAATTATACTATAAATTTCTTAATTTTCAATTAAATTGTATTGACTAATGAAATTTATAATTTCATTTATACGATTGGATGAGCCTTTTTGGAAAGAAAATGAATAATTTAATATTCTGTTGATTAACGAAAACTTAAATCTTATATTTAAAATAATAAAAGAATAATAAATAAAAAAACTTAAACTCCTCCCATTTTAGGATGAGGACATTATTTTTTATTATTATTATTATTATTTTGCTAAAAAAGGAAATGAAATAAATGAAAAGAAAAAAAAATGATCATTTAGAATTATTGAAAAAAGATACAAACAATTTCATTAACTTTCATAAATTTATAAAATATATATATATATATATATATATATATAAGCATCTCGTTTCCATAATTATTTTTTTCAACTATATAGTCAATAATTTTTTTTCCTTAATATTAATAGATTAATGTAAATGGAAATAAATTCAAATGGTTTTCTAGTACTAATATAAATTTTAAAAACGATTTTAGTATTATTAATAGAGCGAAATGCAAGAATAAAAAATTAGTATAATTATGGGTTATTTTTATTTTGACTCTAGTATAATTTTAGAAAGAAAAAAAACAATTATTTTATTATGATTTTAATTCACATTCATAGACATAGTATCACATATATTATAATACAATTTATTTTTGCTTTGATAAAGTTATAAAATGAATTTAGAAAAAAATGAGGTTTATTATAGGTTGAAAAAAAGAAATTATAGGTGGAAATAAATATTAATAAATGGAATTTATTAGGTACATATTTTAATTTCGTCAAATTTGCGATGATGAGACTTCAACTGTCACCGTATTGGGAAGGGGAATTTTAAATATTTTCTTTTAATTTTTATATATGAAAAATAAATATAAGTTTGACCATTTCAAAAATACATGCAGAAAAAAAAAACGTGGGAAAGAAGAATTTTATTGGGTGTTTTTTTGGAAGGAAATCGACGGCCATACACGTTCTAAATTTCATCAAAAGTGGGCCCATCACAACATCAACGGACAGGATTTTTTTAGTTTTTGACGATGGATATTATTCTAAATTATTATTATTATTATTTTAACAAAACAAAGCTCCAAAATTCCTTTATTTTCATCGAAACATGGGTGGATTTACAAGTCAGTTTTAATTAACATTTTTTCCTCCATTTTAATTTTTTTAATATTTTTAATTTTTTAAATATTTTTAATTCACCCTTATTTTGTTTGTTAATCACATCACGATTTTTGTAGTAGGTTGATTTTCTATCAATTTTCTACATGTTTATAATTATAAACTTAAATAATGAAAAGGTTTGACGCGACAATATGGAAGCTGATGAACGAACCGGGGCGCAGACACTTGGCCCATTAAATTGGGAGTGGGCCTAACCATCTTGGCCCATTAATAAACCTTGGCCCATTAATTTTGAGCACAATGTTAGCCCACTATTATTTCGAGAAATTATTTTTTATTTTAAATTTGAAAAGTGAATGTAAAGATCCAAAAGAAATTTAAATTAAAAATAATGTTTTATAAAGGACAAAATTGAATGAATTGGGTGAATTGTAAATGAAATATAATGGTTGGTATTGGATTCCACATGGGCGACACCCAATTTTTCATGGAACTTACATTAAGTACGTCAATTCTTACACGACAAACATACATTTACCAAACTAATTATTGAAAAGTGAAAAGAAAATGTTTATTGCATTATGCAATAAAATTAACATCTTGAATTATATTTTTTAATTTGGTCCCACATTTTAAAAACTTTTTTAATTGTCATTATATTATTGTGCTCGAAAAAACATAGAATTGAATTTTCAAAAAAGAAAAAAAGAAATTTTTTTAAAAAGGGACCATAAATACTTTAATTTGGTAGCTATGGTGGAATGGAAATGAAGATGTGATATGAATAAATATTTGGAGTGAGAAAAAAGGAATTATAAATATTTGTAATTAAAAGAAAGCCAATGCCCCCACAGGGATTGGTAGGTGACAGTATTTACTTCCTACACATGGAAGATGAACAAGGTCACATGGCCCTTCCACCCCGAAACACCCCTACCGCTACATTGTATAGCTAGCTACCCATGCCCCAGTCCCATGGACTTTTGGAACAAACATGCCCCGATCTCTTTTTGCTCTTGCTCTTCTATGGAAGATCATAAAGAACAAGTATCGCATTATTGGGTAAGAGATAACGACAACTCGTAACTACAACACTACTTTGTTTTTTTTGTTTCATCCAAGATGTCTCGTACCAATAGACACATTATCTTTTAGTTATATTATATGACTGTATTTGTCATCGACATATTTCTATAATGATATGATATTGTTCCTTTGCGATATTTTTAACTTAATATTTACGATATTTTTTATTTTCTATTAGATAAGATAGGGGAGAAAGGGATGGGTATTGGCTTAATAAGTTTTTTTTTTCTTTTTTGGGAGAAAGACAACTAATAAGATCTTGATATTTTGACTTTTTTGCCTTCCAATTATGATTTCATATGCTTTTGTTGATGAGATTTGACACAAATGATTTTTTTTTTTTTCTGATATTATTTTGTTGCAACTCTTTTATGAAAAAAATGTGACGTAAAAATATCTACAGGAATAAGGAATAAGTAGTGTACATGAATGAATCGACCGTACATTTGAAAGAGAGTGATTTTAAAGATATGATCTATAAAAGACTCAAGAAAATTAAAGTTATTATGTATACGAACAAGATACACTTATGTTTTCAGTGGTTCAAGCAGAAGAACTTTATGGTTAAACACGACCACGTAACAAGGGAATATCGGTGTTCACTAACGCCATTGTTGAACTTTTTTAAAGCTGCAGAGGAGAGTGAAAAAGAGGGATAAAAAGAAACGATGCAGCGAGGAAGATGACATTGAATGCGACGCGGTTTGGGGAGGCGGAGAGGCGGCATTGGGTTTATAGCCACACCCACAGCCTTGACTTTTTTATGTCTCTCCTCCACCTCTGCTTTGTATTATTATACAACTTAAATGCTGCCCCCTCTTCCCTTTGACTCTTTCTTTTTTTCTATCCCTTTCTTCTCTGTGAGCTTAATTTGTCAGCGTCCCCAAATTTTATCTATTTATACACCCCACCCAACTCCCCATTTCCCCATATTTCTCTGCTTTTTCTACTAACTACAACACAAGCCTTCACTTCAAATGGGTCGCCCTCCTTGCTGTGACAAACAAGGTGTCAAGAAAGGCCCTTGGACTCCTGAGGAAGACATTGTTTTGGTGTCTTACATTCAACGACATGGCCCTGCCAATTGGAGGGCTGTTCCTGCCAACACTGGTAACCGAATATCCTTCTTCTTCTTTACCCCCTTTTACCCTTTTCCAATCTTCTTCTTCTTCTAAATCTTCTTCTTGTTGTTGTTCTTTTCTAGGGCTGCTTAGATGCAGCAAGAGTTGCAGGCTGAGATGGACCAATTACCTGAGGCCTGGCATCAAGAGGGGTAATTTCACTCACCATGAAGAGAAAATGATTGTTCATCTTCAAGCCCTTCTTGGCAACAGGTAACCAACCAAGTTGAAATATGTTAAAAAAAACAGAGCTTTTGCTTTTGGGTAAATTTATGATGCATTTATTGTGATCATGGCAGATGGGCGGCCATAGCTTCATACCTTCCACAAAGAACAGACAACGACATTAAAAACCACTGGAACACTCATCTCAAGAAGAGCCTCAACAACACCAACCATTACCCATCTCCGACCACCCATCTCTCCGGCGATGCCCTTTTCACCTCTAGAGGCCAATGGGAGAGACGCCTCCAAACCGACATTCAAATGGCCAAACAAGCCCTCTCCGACGCCCTCTCGCCCGAAACCTCCAAACCCCCACCGCCTCCTCTGCCGATGGCAGAGTCCCAAACACCCAATCGCCAAATTCCGACATATGCTTCCAGCGCCGACAACATCGCACGGTGGCTCGAAGAATGGAACAAAAACCCACCGACGAACAGTTCTTGCCGGTCCAGCTCACCGCCGGTGGTGGATTCCGGCGGTGAAAAAGTTAGTGGGGCGGGTTCATCGGAATCGATGGATACATTTCTGGGTTTTGATTATTTTGAATCGTCAAATTCGGAGGTGTCGCCAGAAACGAGCGTTTTTCAAGGGGAAAGTGAAATGGATGAAAGTGAAGGATTGTTGGCAATGGAATTGCTCGAGGAATGGCTTCATGGAGATGCTAAAGATTATTACTTCACGGATATAACAGTAGATGAAAAGTTAATAAAGTATGATAATGTTTTATGAAATTACAAATAAATATGGCCATATATTTATACAAAATATTTTGAGTTCATTTTTATTCCAATTTATCTCTTCAAATTTGGAAGAGATGTGTATTTTGTAGTTATTAAAGAGTTCCAAACAATGGTTATTAAATATTTTGAATATGGATGGAAGTGAAAAATACTTAGTCTAGAAAACTATGGGTATCACTCTCAAGTCAAAAGGGGCTCTGCACTTCGAAAATAGCCAATATGATCCTGCCCAATAACTGGTCTACAAAAGTAGTCTCTTCATATATTTCTGACATCCTTACCTCCTATAATATATATATCAATGTGACCTCCTATAATATATATATCAATGTGTATCTTATGCTATAATTATTTCATCTTATTGCGAGCTTTTTGTTGCCAGCCAAAATAAATTATTGATGGATGGGATTGGAAGCCCTTATTAAGAGTACCATGTGAACTACTTGTGCATTTATATTTAAAATATTAAATTGCTTGTAACAGGACTAAATATAAGCCACTGGGCTAACTTGGATTTTTTGCAATTAAAACTACGTGAAGTCAGAGCTTTTGATAATGAAACTCAACTTATTCACCCACATGGGGCACCCTTTTCTTTTCTCTTTCTATGTAACTGAGTACGAAACATGCTAGTCAACAAATCATGTTCTTCTTATCTTAAAAAACGAACCAAATGAAAACCCGCTAGCTTAACCCAAGTTAGGATAGCTGAATTAATTTCATGGCAAAATAATGGATGGATTTGAATGAAATTATTTGGTTAAATTAATTGAGAAGAAAAGGACGTATCCAATTACTTCAAAGCCTTGTTCATCTATTATTATATATATATATATATATATATATATATATGTATTGGAACTGGAAACTCTGGATTTGGTTTTGACTTTGGAAGTAAAGATAAGTCAACACCGACAAGGTTCTTAATCCTAGTCTACAAGGTTGCGTGGAGACCTGCTTCTGTCAGTTTCTAGAACACTCTACCACTGTCCTTTCTCATCTTATAACAAGTTTTAAGGATTATTTTTTTATTTATTTTTAATTTCCTTTTTAGAAGTTATCTTAGAACTGGTCAACTATTTTCTTTTTATTAATGTTCATAAAGTCAAAGAAAGATATTAAAAGATAGATGGTGATGGATGGATCATCTTTGAACTCGTCAACTTTTTTTTATTTAAATTTAAAATATTTAAATAAAATTTATAATTATTATGATTTCTCCACGTCAGCATATTGATTGATGGGCAATTTGAAGCCCGGGGGAAAAAGAATTATATGGGCTTAATCAGACATTGGGCCTGATCCATGAGAAGAGAACATATTTTATTCTTCAATTTCTATTATATGTTATCATCATATAAACAATTCCTTTAATAACTCTTTTAATATAACGTAATAATAGTAATAATATACATTGGTTTTGATTTATCAGATTTCTCAAAATTGAAGATAATTATGTTTTTAATATAAAATAATAATTCATTTTATATTCTTTCAGGAATTTTGAAAAATCTGATAAATAAAAAGGAGAATTATCTTGAAAGAATATAAAAGTATGGAAGTCAGAGATATGGGCTTTAAAAAAAAATTAAAATAAAATAAAGGACCACAGCATTATTAAAATGCACCATTTTTATTCCCTATATGTAAATAATTTGTGGTCCTCCAACTCACTTTTTCATTTTTTTTTTTTTTATTTTTTTTTTTTGTTGCTTTGTGTCATCTTTCAAATTCAAATATTACATTCAAAAACAAAAAAGTTTTCTTTTCATCCACCACTTGGTGCTTTTTTTTTCCTCCTTTTTTACCTTTTCCAATATTAAAGTTTATTACAAAATAAATTAGTTTTTTCTTATAATAAATGATTAGTGAAAATACTCGAGATTAAGACATTAATTATAAAACGTTTTTAAACAAAAAAGTGGGGGGGGGGGGGGGAAAAAAAAAAAAAAAAAAAA